AGACTCATCCCTTTCATTCCTAACATGCCCATCATCCTTTATATTTCTAACATCAGTTTCATCTCTTTTATCTCGAACATTCCTTTCATTAATATTTTGTTCTTCACAAGACAACGCAGATTTACGTTTAAAGTATTTTTTTCATAACTGATATAAACAATAAAATAAAACAGACTCAATACGAATAGAGTAAAGGAAATTATCGAACTAGTAACAATTTAAATTTTGTCATAAATTCTATTGATTCATAACACAAAATACATAACAAAAATGAAAAGAGAAATTAAATTTTAAACGTTCACAATCTTAGATTTTTAAACTATGAATTACAAAGACAAATATTGGAGGTTAAACTCGCATACCTTTAAAATAGACAAATCAGTGTCGGAGGTCGTGGCACGAGCTGCGGTATGAGATGAAAAAGTGAAAGAAATCAAAATTTTGATTGCTGAAGGGCGGAATTGGTCAATTTGGCTGTGCATGGTGCAAGTTTGAATTGGGCTTTGTTGTGGTGGGTTTGGCAGAATTGGTCAATTGATATAGCGCAAGTTTGGATTGTTTAATGTTATGAGCTTTTATTAATTTAAAAAAAAAAAAAAAATTGGAAAGTTGGTGGGTCACGTGCCCCACTGCAATCCACCCGTCCTTCCGCCACTGCATCCCAATCGTCTAGCATAACTCTATTTCTCCTCCCTAACCTTTTCAGTTTTCAATGCTAAATGAAAGGCTTACTAATTAAGGCCTTTCTTATAATTAACCCCTATTTGATTTGGTTAAAAATTTAATTTTTAGTAAGTTTTAAAAAAAGTTGATAAAATTTGCGGTTGAAAGGTGACAAAAGTTGTGAATTCCAAAAAATTATTGGTTGAAAATTAATTTTTTTTAAAAAATAAAAATAGGGACCAAACGTTATTCCACTCTATATCTATCTCTATTAAAATTTTAAAAAATATTATTTCATCAACATCACCATCCACACAAATTTTATATATATATCCCACTCTAAATATATCCCTATTATAATTTCATTTTTTTAAAAAAAAATTCCATATACATCCACATTACATATAACATCAACATCCTCACAATCAATGTTGAAATGCACTACATTTACAGTGATTAGACTCTAATTAGTGTGGGCCCCACAAATTATAAATTTTATAATTAGAGAGGGCTGTAAATTTAGTGTGGGCCCCACAAATTATAAATTTTATAATTAGAGAGGGCTGTAAAATTT